TTTAATGTATTTGTTTGACGACTCATATAAAGAAAAAGGTATGTTGGTCAAAATTCTTGAACTGGTTTGGTTGGTTTCATTATTGGTTACATCCACAAATTCAAGTTGTTTCAACCTATGGTCATTTGCCATTTGGGCCTGATGTTTAGGCCATAGTTTAGTCACTTAGTTGTAAATGGATGAATTCTCCATTGGCTCAGCCGCAAGTTTACCTTGATGGTTCTATGGGTAAAATTGCTGATCTGGATTTTGGCGTAAAACCAAACATGACTTGCCCTACTTGCTGGATTCAATTATGGCGCTGTAGCTAAAATATGGGGAGCGTGATTTGCGTATTTGTTGTTCACCAACTTACCAACTTGTGAAGTCCATGCAGTTGTTGATTGGCACTGTAGTTCTAAAGTAAGGTTTCCATTTTTGGCCATTTACATGATTCCAGAAGTTTTTTATGAGGCTGATGATTTTAGGTTTCTTTGACGATCATAAATAAGAATGTTTCAGCGCATAAAAAATTAGTCGTTTGCTTTACAAACTTTAATCTGTTCTCTGTATAAGACAATTGGAAGTGAGTTTTTTGAGTGCTGTGCAAGCATTGATTGACAAAAATCGAGGAAAGCCCTCTCGAAGTAATGTCGTTATGTCTGTATCTTCTATTCGGTCCTTTCTGCCAAGTTACTTTTCATCCACATAATTGAGGATTGGTTTGTGCATGTGATGAGACTAGATCAAATCGATAATCTGAATTTTTTTAATTACAATGTAAATCTAGGTGGTCATGCCTTTTTTATTACATCAATTCTTTGTAAAATTTCTATTTGGGAAGTTTTAAAATTATTATTTGAGAAGAATTTTCTGTGTATTCATATTTCATCAAAAGAAATAAATTTTTATAAATTTGACCATGTGATGGGGACATTAGAGCATGGAACGTTTATCAGAGGTGTGGTCGCCGATCTACGGCCACGATCGCACCGATATATTTTTAAGTCCTCATATGTAATTGTTTTTAGCTATTTGTTTTTGCATTTGTTTAAATTGTTTTTTTTTTTTCCTTTCTACCCCTTAATTAAGGGTGGTCATGTTTAAGCCCAAAAGGCTAAGTCGTCTTTTTATTTTTCCATCCATTGTATGAGGTTATATATAGCCCTTATGAATGGGAAGAATGAATTATGACAATTTTTGCATATTGAGTTCTTGTGAGAGCTTGAGTGGTTTTAGAGAGAAATCCCTTGGAGAGGGAAGCAGATCACCCATCAACCTCGGAAGAGTCCGGGTTCGTGGTTAGTTTCTTCGTAGTTCTTTTCTTCACTCTTCTTCCCTTCCCTTCTATCCCACGGTTCACCTCCACCCTAAGCCATCGACCACCTCCTCAAAAGCCCACTGCTAGCAAACTACTAGTCCCCCACCCTTGCCCTCGGCTAGCACCCAATTCATCCCCACCCGACCCCTTCTCCCCTCACCCCACCCACGGCCTAGCCACCTAGCCGACGGCCCCTCTTCCCCTTGCTTCCGAAATTATAATTCCCCTAATTACTACTTTCCTATTCTAGAATCTATTTTGGGAAGGTTGAAATTTCAATCATTCAAAATTAAATTTGAATTTGAAACGTTTCCTAAAATAGAATTTTATTTTAGGAAAGTTTCTAAACTCAAATCCAAATTTAATTTAAATTGGATTGGAATTAAAATCTATGTCCTAATTAGAGAGCCCTATTTAAGAAAGAAATAATCTTGCTTAATTCCCCCAATCTCTCTCCCTATGCCACCGGCCCCCCTCAAGTTTCCCTTTGGAATTATTTCCAAAAGTCAAGTTACTCTTTTGGAAACAATTCAAACCCTCCCTCTCTCTCTTGGCCGAAATTCCCAAGGCCCCACCTCCTTTATTTATTTCCAAAATCACACATATTCTTTTGGAATTAAATCCCAAATCCTCCTCTACTCCACCTGCCCCCTCTATTCTTTCATATTCCCTTTAAATTATTTCCAACTCAAGAGACTTTGATTTGGAAATTAATTCCAGCCCTTCCCTCCAAAATCCTCTCTCAAATTTAACTCTAACTCCACCAAAATCTAAACCCAATTCTCCCCAAACCTTTCCCCTTGGCCGGCCACCCTTCCTCCTCTTCCTTCTTCTTAAATTACTTGGGAAAACCCCAAGTTTGCTAAGGAACTGCCCAAGGACAGCAAAGTACAAAATCTACAACACTACAACACCTTGTACTTCATGTATGGCCGATCCTGAATGAGACTCTGGCTTCGTCTACAACGATCAAGGCAACGTCGACATTCTTTGGTTCACATTCTTCGACGTCAACTCGGAGATTGACACTTCCGCCAACAAATACCTAGATCGAATCATCTTCAACATGTCCGAAGCAATCGAAGAGCAACTTGCCAATGTCCAATGGCAAATCACTTCCGGTCCTCAACGAGGGTGAATTTTTTCCCATATTCAAATTATCTTCTTATCCTCTGCTTTTGTAGGTGGTGATTCAAGCACAAGGAATCGTGCCAAGCTTCCTTCTTTCGCTTAGTAAACGTAGGATTTGAGTTTTGATTTTCTATGTTTCTAATCTCAATGTTAACTTAGGGATTTTATTGAATAACTACTTAAATTTGCATTGACTTGAAATTCTAAAGTATTTTGGTGATTCTAATTCTTAGCATGTGATTTGGCCTTAAGCATGGTCACCCCTCTTTAGTTTTCTACTATTGTTTAGTGGCTAACTGATGGGGACATCAGATCGTGAAAGGTCTATCAGAGACGTGGCAATCGATCTACGGCCACAATTGAGTCATTGTATTTCTGATTTGTTTTATGTATTTTCTTATTTATGATGTCATATTGTATTTGCTTTATTAGTTTACTGTTGTACCCTTTTATTAAGGAAGGTCGTATGTAAGCCCTAGGGGCATTGTTGTCCTTTTATGTTGTGAGTTATTGTAAGAGGCTATTTATAGCCCCATTGTTCTTCTTTTCAAGTTAATGAATGATTAATTGAAAATTTTGTTTCTCTTGTTTGAATTCTCATGAGAACTTGAGAGATTTGAGTGAAATCCCTAGGAGAGGGAGACTTGTGCAATACCCACCAACCTAGACGAGTCAGGTTCGTGGTTCTACCTGCTATCTTTTTCTCTCTTCCTCCCTCTATCACCGTTGGCCATAACATCTTTCCCCCACCTTGTCCAAACTTCATCCCCACCGCATTCGCCAAACCCCCTCCACCAATCCCCCGGTTCCCTTACCCGAGCCCCCATCCAAGCCGCCGGCCCTAGCCCCGTGTCCACTCTTGGATTTACTTCCTAATTTTGATTGCCATAATTTAGACTGATTTTTTGAATTCAAATTCACCCAATTTGAAATTCAAAATCTTTCCTAAATTATAAAATCTATTTTAGGAAAGTTTTCATATCTTCCTCATGGGTTTTTAAATTATCTTGGAATGAATTATTTCATTCTAAAACTAGTCATCTAAATTAAGGAAGCATTAAAGCCTCCTTAATTTTCTCCCCCATCCCCATAAAGCCACCGACCCCACTCATCTTCCCATATTCCTTAAGTCTCCTAATTTAGTTGGATTTAATTTAGGATCAATTTGAAATTCAAATCAATTGAATTTGAAATTCAAATTCTCTCCAAATTTTAACTAATCTATTATAGGAAAGTCTCCATAAACTATTCCAAATCAAATTCTATTTGAATTTGATTTAATCTCTTGCCTAATTTAAGACTCTCTTGATTAGGCAACCCACTTAATTCCCTAAACCCCTCCCTCTTTCACCATGCCGCCGACCCCCCTAGCCTAACCGCCCTCTCTCTCTCCACTCCCTCTCTCTCTCTCATTAACTCCCCTCCCCAATTTTGGGGAATTAGATTCCCTCCAAATTTCTTTCCCTCTTAATTTCAAAATCTGAAATTTATTTCATAATTTTGAATTTAAACATCTCCTCCAACCTAATCCTAACCCACGTGTGGCTCCCTCTCTTTGGTCGAACCCTCTCCTCTCTTTATTTCTTACTTCTTGTGAGGATCCCCTTTCTCTCGAGAGATCTAGGAGCTTTGAAGGACGTCGTCGATACCACCACAAACAACAAAGCCAATGCATGGCCGATCCGAAACTTGACTACGGCCTCTCCTACGATGAGAAAGGGTTTGTTTGCATCTTACATTCGACCTTCTTTGACGTCAACCCTCGCATCTACCACACCGTGAAAGAGTACGTAGAGCGCATCTTGGATACCTTGGCCGAGGCTATTGAAGAGCAACTTGGACCCGTTGAGTGGAGGATTACAACCGATCTTTGATGAAGGTTTTCTAATCTCCCTCTTCTTGTATTTCTTAAGTCTAACCCCTTCTTTGGGATTTAATTTTAGTCACGAAAATCGTGTTTGCCTAAATCTGTCAAGCTTAGTAAACTTAGGGATTGAGTGCTCTTCATTTTGTTGTTAATCTTATTGTTAGATTAGGGATTTTCGTTGAAAGCTACTATATTTGTATGTTGTTGATTTTCTATGCTATTTTGATGGTTCAAAGCTTTCATCGTGCAACTTAGCCTAAACGGAAATGACCGCTCTTGCGTTTTATTTTATCATTTTTATTTGCTAATAGTTCTAATTGTTGTTACTCTAATCAATAAATCGTGCAAGCACTTTTCAAAATCATTTCAAGCATTGTAGTCCTACATCACTAACGTTCATAAAAATTAATTGCTCTTATTCAAAACGTGAAAGTTCTTATCACATCATCTAAAATATATTTAGTCCTGCATCACCATGTGTGCGTGATTTTGTACAATTCATCTTAGAATTATACTAAAAAGCTCTAGACCAAGACTTGAAAATATCTAAGACTGCAAATCCTTTCATTGCACAATGGTTGAAGTATTGCCAAGCTATAAGTGCTAATCTCAAAAGTTGACCTTTGATAGACAAGGAACAAAAAGGTCAAAAACCATCAAATAGCATTAAAGACAACCGAGCTGCACTTTGGATTTGATTACCTGGTGCTCAAAAAAAGGATAATCCAAGTATACATCAAAACGATGAGCAAATGTTATATTTGTTGGTGTCCAATTGACTGAAAATGTCATGTCCAATTTCTTTCCAGATTCCAACAGTCTGGGGTTTCCTTGGGTGATATTGACATGAATGATCTGCAAGAAAATAGGGTATTGTGATCAGACAGCTTCATTAAGACTTCAAAACTTAGCCTTATGGATCCTTTCTTAAGTAATAATCATCCATAAGAAAAACAGATATAACAAGCAAAGGGAAAAAAAATCCAAATGCAGAAAATCTGTACCTGGTCTTTATTGTATCTCACAACAATATTCTTATGCGTGAAGAGATAATGCTTGCTCGCATCCGTTTTGCCGGTCTCTCCGACAAAGGCTGAAATATCATGTAATTCATTGATATAAGAATGAATTGAGAAGTATAATTTAACTTTAAAAGATGGATTTCTTAGTACATACCCCATAAAGGCAAATCATCTGGGTCACCATGCCAAAGAAAAAAGAGGAAAAATGTAAAGTGTTATAAAATCTTCAACAAATATCAATATGCAGACAAATGAAAAAATAGCATAACTGACAGAGTACCTATGAAAAATTCAAACCAATATGAGGTATCTATTGCATCCGTGAATTGCTTCACCTTAGCATCATCGAGTTCAATAGAACAAATGGAACCTTTTTCAACATTTTCTGATAAGACAAATCAAACAATATGCATGACAATTACTAACCAAATAGTTGGGAGAAGGCCAATAATGATGATGATGATGATGATGATGAATGATAATCAACCCCAAAACTATGACGATCATCCCATACTAAGTAACTTGACTATACCTCGTGATTAAAATTCATAACTACAGAAAAGATACGTAAATATGTGAAAATTCTGGTAAAAATTAAGAGAAAGGGAAAATGGCATACTCAGGAATTTTAACTCAATCTGGCTGTCAATAAGCTCATTTCCACCCAAAACCTCGCCAAGCCCACCCCACTTATGTGAAGGGTTCTCTCGAGGCTGGCAAAAGGGAAGACTATAATAGTTGTATGTTTCCTGAGGGTTATTATATGGACCGACCTTGTTCACCCAGAGTGTAACAGGATCATCAGGTTGATACTGCAAAAAAGAAAAAGAGAGACAGGTAGAAGCTAATTAATGAAAGCTTGACAAAATTAACTAAAACAGTCATTAATTTGAAAAAATACTATCTCAAATTTATACGATGACCAGAAGAAAAAAAAATTCCAGGAGTAGAGACAAATAAATTATATAATCATCAGAATTGTTGTGACCCAGCAAAGTGATAGGAAACACTTGTAGATCTCAAGTATTTCCTATCAATCTACGTAAAACAGCGAGAAATTCTTCCAAAATCTAAGGAAAATAGTAGATTTTATTGCAAGAAATCAACTACGGAAGAAAAACAAACAAGATGCAATTGATCCTCAATTTGAGAGGAGGATCGATCTCTCCCAAATCTCTAGACGCCGCTAGAGCCCAAAGAAAACCTAAATCTAAGATATCTCAAATTTCAGCCAACTTCAAGATATCCAAACCCAAGGAAAACAAACTATTTAATACATACAAATCAAAAGGAAATCCCTAAATAATCCCTACATTCAAATTTTCCTCCCAATTTCCTCAAAAAAAAAACCTTCCAAAATGGTCCCCTAAGCTTCGATCGGCCTACGCAACAGGCATAATTCTTCCCCTGTTCTCCGCCTGAGCCGGTCCCATGTGGACCGGCTGGACCGGTCTAACACAAAGTTATAACATTTGTCAACAGCAAATCAACCATATAATATGCAACAGAAATGAATATCCTTACCTGCAACATAAAACAAATAAAAAGAAATCCGACTTGCATAATCATATTTTGAGGACGAGTTCAAAAAGGAACACATATGGAAACAAAAATTAAATTGTTTTCGTGCCTGAAAAAATCAATTCTGTTAAAACAAGTATAATAATTACCCAAGCAATAAAAATAGCAAATAGATCCAATAGGTCTGTTACAGATGAACTGCACTATAATTTTGGAAATAATGCACTTCGGTTTAGCTTTTATCCTGCTCTGATTTTCAAAAAACAATTTTTGTTTGTGGAAAATACCATTAGGAATCTCCCACCTCACATGTTCACTATCTCAATTGTTCTTGTTTTGTCCCATCGGAGGGGTAGGAAGTTATTGACATAGGCGGGAATTGAACCAAGGACTGCAAGAAAAATTGACGCAAGCAGGAGTCATACATATAATAAGATTGAAGATCTCTTGATATGAAAGCTATTCGAAGCTTTCTGATTGGTCTGGAGAAATAATTTCATAAAGAACCTTTCACTTGTAGATTTGCTAAATAAATTCTTTTTGGCATCTACCATTTGCTACTTTCAATCTGGGTACCGTGATGTTTGAAGTTTTTTTATACATTTGAGTTGGCTATTTTTAAAGGATTAAAGCATGGATTATTGATACAAAACATCAAGCAACAAATTATAATGGCCCCACACAAAGCAAAATCAGGATTCAAGATGAGAGCAAGGGACATAATGGCCCCATCACAAGATCAAGACCAAAGGCCAAAAGAAATTCATCCAACACAAAAAATTGAAGAAGTCCGTATTTGAACAATGTTATAATTTTAATGTTATCTTTTAATATTTTCCCCTTCCATGTATGAGTCTTTTATTTTATTAATTTCCTTTGTTTTATTTACTTTAGCCTTGTCACGAACTTTTATTTGGTCCGGTCACAAGACGTAGCTCTACGTTCGGCCGTCAATAGAATCGCGCCACGCGTTCTCACTATTTACCGCGCGGCCCGACAACCGGACCTGGAACGGACCCAGGATGGCTCGGTATTTCTCGATTTTGCTAGGTATTGCTCGGTATTGCTAGGTATTGGTCGATTTTGCTCGGCAATAACCAATACCGAGCAAATACCGAGCAATACCGGACAAATACCGAGCAATACCGAGAAATACCGAGTTGTACCGAGTTTTTCTAAAAAAATTGGTACAACTCGGTATTTCTCGAAAAACTCGGTACAACTCGGTATTTCTAGAAAAACTCTGTACAACTCGGTATTTCTAGCAAATACTGAATTTTTCTAGTTTTTCTAGAAAAACTCGGTAAGAAAAAACTCGGTACAACTCGGTATTTCTCGGTATTACTCGGTATTTGTCTTTACAGAGCGATATTTCTCGTTATTGTCAAGCAATACCTAGCAATATCGAGCAAATACCGAGTAATACCTCCCAATACGTGAACATAGCATTCTCGGGTTCCGGTCCGGGTCAAGTCGTCGGGCCGCACGGTAAAGGGTAAGAGCACGTGGCGACATGTTATTGGCGGCCGAACGTAGCTCTACGTCCGGTCAGAGGACATAATAATTGTTCGTTTGGAAGATAGGGGGCATCCGCTCCTTGTTAGAGTCGAGATCAAGAGTAGCCTCATTCCCCTTCCTTCTGTTGTTATCAATTTGTCCTCCTTTATTAGTTTCTTTTCATAGGACATGATGTAATTCTATAAAAATTTATTTTAATGAATGAAAATCAACTTTTGATGATTGAAATAAAAGTTGAGATTTACCTAGGGTTGTGTGCTCAATGGCCGGCCCTTTTGAATTCTTCTGAGTGGAAGACCTAGGTATCCCTCTTATCTCTTGTTGATCTTTCTCTCATGCTATCCTACTCCTTCCACAATATCCCTAGCCTCTTTCTGCAAATTTTCCTATAGCAAGAAAAGAAATTCTCCAAGCCTCTTGCAAGTGGTCGGTCAAAATAAAGTACCCATGACTTAGTTTGGTTCTCCCCCTTCTGCCACCCTCCAAACTCCTTGGATATCAACCAAAAACTCTATATTAGATCTCCAAACACACCCTTAGCCTTCCAAGCATCTCTGACCACCAAACACACCATTATGCCCAACCCTCAAAATATAGTTCAAGACTAGCCACCTAGTCATGGTATAGTCTCCGCCAAACACAACTAAATGTTAGATCTCCCCCAAAAATGTTAAATCACATCCCTTATTATGGGAAAAAGAGCCAAAGATAAAATACCCAAGAGATTGATGCAGGTAGAATACATGGGATTTGGAGATGAGTAGAAATCGAAGCTAATTGATATCAATTTTTTTTAAATTCATCTCTCCTCCACCACATTTAGCTAATATTTTCATCAATATTTGATTATTAACAGTACATTGCCATCAAAATATATATTTGATATAAGAATGCAAATTCTTGAAAGCTTATGACAATGATACGTTACTTGCTCTTAGAAATGTTAGATTTCCACCTCATAAGAAAATAAGCAACCAAGTTAATACTGATTTAAACATTCAAAAAAGAACTAACACACAATCTTTCCCGGTCTTTTGGTAAGATCAAGAGCTGTAACTAAGAATTAACACATGAACTGCTAATGAAGAATTAACAAAAAAATGCAGTAAAAATTCAAGCTAGCATGCATTAGAAGGATAAAATAAAGATAAACACCATGTTAGGGAGTAAAAATTTTCCCATTGTTTTCTCCATGCCTCTAAAGAAAATTTTTTGAATATAACAAATTTCTTACACAAACCGTGCCAGGACTAAATGAACAGCCTCAAACATGTAAGTCTTTAAGATCAAAACAACGTATAAAAAGAAAGAAATAATGGGGCAAGTATGCTAAACACTGCAATATAAAAATGCGATCAATATCAAAATAAAGCTACGGCAGAATGCTTTCCAATTGACAAGAGGGACGTACTCTCGAACCGTTGACAGAAAGAATGATACAAGTATCAGCTTGAGAATCAATAGGAAGAATAGGATTAAGGAAAGCATAAAAATTTCCCACCTTGATCTAATTGGTTCCAAAAGTTAATATGGCAACCTGAATCTATAGTTCGTACATAGAAAAAACACTTCAAGGAATGCACCCAATCTAACTTTAACTCCATGCTAAGAGTTTAAACAAAAACATGAAAAATATAAATATAAATACCAAAACAAGCACTTCTTTTTTCCAAACAATAATTCTAAAACACAGCATTGAGTGTTTCATAATTTCGGCTTTAAAGCCGTTATACTTGGTAGAGAACATAAAATCAAAGAAATGATCAGATGGAAATACCCTCCAGCCAATGCATAACTGTACCAACGAATGGTTATGAGGACTAGGGCAGATCTAATTCCCGTGATAAGACACCGGGAGAAAAAAACCATACTTTCACATACAGAGCAAGATCTGTCGAAGACGAGACCCGTCCCAAGTGGCAATAAATAAGGTCGAATACGGGAATAGGTTCAAACAGGGACTAAAGCTTCCACAAACGAAACATCTGATCGACAAACTGGGATCAGGATCAAGCAGAGTACCTTGTGATCGGACTCCGACGCGGACGCCGATACAGCAAAGAAAAGGACGATAACGAGACCAGCGGCGAGGACAGTGAGAGATCTCAGGCGGACGACCATGGCGCCCGCAGATCTACGAGTACTCACGCGATTAGATTCAGCTCCAGGCTCCAGGCCTTTTATCTATGTGGTATTGAGGTAAAGAGAGAGAGAAAGAGAGAAACGAAGTCCTAAGGATTTAGAAACCGACGGCCTTCTCTTCAAATAAATTAGCAACGGGGAATGTAATTTATGCCACTTATAAAACGAGAATTTATATTTCATCCATTAAAAAAAAAAGTTTTAATGCTTAGTTTGAAGGGACTACAAAAAAAAGAATCCAAGTAAAAGAAATATAATATAAAAATAATGTAATGTGAAAAAAAATTTATGAAATATTACTTATTAGCATAAATGTAAAATAAATATGGGTGAATGATTTTTTTTATATATATAAATAATAAATGTAGAGTAAATTCCTAAATGCTGATGGCTAGAGAGTGGGCGGTGACAATGTGCGATGGTCGGTGGGTGGTGGTGATCGCCATCTCGCCACTAGAGGATGTGGCTAGCGGCTGGCTGGCAAGCGATGGTTGCGGAGGGTGAATGTCAGTCGCAACGGAGAGCGGTGGCCAGCAATGATTTGGGTTGCGGAGGGTGAATGTCAGTTCTTCTCCTTGATCATCAAAAACTCCTCATTAAGCTCCTATGCTTTTTATTATTTCCCATCATCAAAACTATCTTGTTCATGTATGTCCAATATCTTAAATGTGAAGAAGAAAGGCAATTTTATCATGTTGCTTTGAAATTCATTGTAATATAAAGGAAATTTGATTATATTCTCTATAATGCTCAAAACTATAAAAATATGCAAGGTGTTTAATTTCTTGGAGAAATATTCTCAAAAATTACCTTTGGATTAAAATATCGGTGGATTTAAAAAAAAAAATACTTGAGCATTATGTAAGCGAACTTCCAAACATAAAGTTGCTTGACTATCTATCCCTCTCCTTAGTGTCTTTCTCTTCTCTAAAGATTTTCATTCTCCAGTATTGGTTTTGCGATAAAGTTTCAAAACAAAATTCTTGCCTTTGTCACTAATTAGCTATAAAGGTTAGTGAAGTTATTGGTTTGCCTTTTGATACTTAATAATTTTGTTCGCATTCTAACCCTAAATCTAAACCAACATTAAACATCAAACCATCAACTTCAAAAATTGATCAAAACTTCTTTTGACCTTGATTGAAATATACTTGGACCGTGATTGAATGTTAATCAAAAGTTATTTGAATCTTATTCATATTTTTGAATAAGGTTCGAACGGTGATTGAAAAATATTTGATTATGGCTCAAATATATTTTGATCAAGGTTTAAATAAAATTAGATCAATGTTGTTACCCTATTGAAACAAGCTCTATCAAAGTTTGAGCAAAATTACATCAATTTTAAAATATTGCTCAAACATTATTCAAAAATAGTATGAATGTGAATCAAATCTATTATTTTAGCATAATTTGAGTTGTCTTTCTATTTATGCAGATGTCTACACTAATAATACATGAGAAGAGGTATTGCATTACTCATGCACATACATAGCTGGAGGTTTGATGAAAAATAATATTAAATGATTTGATATTATTGGCATCATTATGTTGGGTATTACATGCATAGATTTGGGCACTTTATAGTGACATAAATGTGATTATATTTGATAAATTTATAGAGATACAAAAGAATATCCAAAGCACTATATTGAATAGGAAAAAGATGGCTTTATAAGTATTAAGTTCAGTAACACTCACCTAATAAATGGAGGATCGATTCAATTGTATTACATTATAGATATTATAATTGTATTCAAATGTATCAATTTTTTTGTCTATTATTTTATAGCTATTATGATTGTACTCACCTTCTTACTATAATTATATTAAGATTGCTTTGATTTAATATAATACTTCTCATTGTAATTTTATAGATGATAAGAAATGATATTATGCTTCTCATTATAATGTGTTATAGTTATTGGATTATACCATGTAAGATAAATCATCTTTGCACCTTATATGAATCAAACCATATACAAACTTGAAACAGAATGCATAATACGTGTGAGCCAACAGAGCTCAATATACTACACCTATCAATCTAAATTTCTAATAATTTATTCATTATGCATTTTCTTTCATTATGCATTTAATTGAATATAAAGGTAGTTCATAAGAAATTTATCATATTGAGCATAATATAAATGACAAATGACTAAAATAAAGTAGACTATACAGTGAAAGCACATAAACTATCATAATAGAAAATAACATATTTCCCTCAAGCCCTATACCTCCCATGAGGGGCGGATCCAGCTTCTTTTTTTAGGGTGGGCAAAAAAAAAATTTTGTGGGGGATGGGCAAAAATGCTTAGGATTGATTAAATGAGGGCAAAAAAATTTTTTGAGAGGGGGCAAAATACCCAAAATACTCAAAATATTTCAAAATATCTCACTAAAATTAAAAAAAAAAAAATTTGAGGGGGGGCATTTGCCCCCCCTCAACTACATGGGGATCCGCCCATGCCTCCCATAAAAAATAAACCCTTATTATTTATGTGCTAGCATATCGATGAACAGACTTTTATGATTCCCAATGCTCAGTACATATCAGATATTATGAATTTCAAACCCTTTATGATTCGTTGTGTATTTAACAACATAATAGAACGTCCACCGCACATCAAATCTCCTCATAATCACATATTTCAAGCAAATAATTAGATATACCAGTGAATTACAATAAAAGAAATATAAATAAACCAAATTCAGATTTTTCAAAGAAGGTTTTATTGATAGGCAACATAGTTACATGTTGAGCATAATAAATTCACTATTTCAAAACGTCACCAAATAATTAGGGATTATTCAGAATATTATTTAGAAGTTTTAATTATACAACACTATTTTCTAAGACTATAATTATTTTCTAATAGAATAAAATAGCACATTTTTCAAATTACCTGACAAAAATTTCTAAAAAAAATATCAAAATTTTCAAAATTATTTTATCTATAACATACAAAAAGTTACATTGTAAAAGTTTAGCGGTCATATAGTTATTCTCATTTTTTCACTATGAAATTAGAAATTAAATTTAAAAAATATCAAAAATTTATTTTTTTTAAAACAAAAATAGGAAAAATGTAATCTACCTCGATCCAAGTAATTTTCAAAACAGTGCCGACAACAAAAACATAGATCAAAGTCACCAAAACTCTACCTTTCTCTCCCTAGCTAGCTACCTATTGGGGAAGAAATGAATTTGTTATAATTAAAATAGTGGAAATAGGTATTTTTATATAAAATTTTAGCCAGGCGCCGTAGCGCTCGATCTTGCATGCTGCAGCTCTCCCTCTAGGAGAGCATGGTGCCGTAATGCCTCCCCCAATGCCACATCACATAATAAATTTGGGCAAAAGATCTCTCTCAATACTTTGGTGCCACCTACCTCGGCATCGTGGTGCCCGAGGTGAAAAATTATAGAGTTCCAAATTATGCACACAAACTCATGGAACCTACCCCGAAATAGACCCATACATTTATATGCATACTGAACATTATCATACACTTGCAAAAGACGTTAAATGTAGAAATTTAGCAAGTTATCTACCACAGATTGGGGTAGAATGAGTAAAATGGTGCACTGATTTTGTAGATGTTCATCTTTTGCTTCTCCTTTCTTTCCTTCCTCAACTAGATAAATGGAATGGAGGAGTGATGACTTGGAATTAAATGGATGGAGATATTATAATATCTAATATCTATCATTTTGAACTACCGTTGTAGTGCTTAATTTTCTAGCGTTGATGCTCTCCCAGAGAATCTTCTATATTCTCCTAGAATATCCTCAAATGAGACCCAACGTCGCAACGAAGTCGCTTCGACGCAATAGTGCTCACTAAAATCTATTTTTTCCCTCAAAAATCTGATAGCTTGATAACTAGCCTCTACCAACATTAGCCCTCACAGAGCAATTTTCTGACAATAGAATTTGTGCTATCACAAAGTTAATGGATTGAAAGGAGATTATGGGAGAGTTGGAATCATGACTTGACTCGATGCAAACTATTGTATTGAGGTGAGTCCCATCATGTTGTATCTGCAATAGTTGATTTAATTTTTAATATATAATTTGAAAGAAATTTCTTATTTAATTTTATTCAATATTAACAAATATATGATATTTTTTATATCATCAAATAAATTGTATGTAAAACCATTAACATCATTTCATTTACTTCACTAAGCTAAACAATTAAAAAGAGTTATACATAACAATCATATATATATATATATATATATATATATATATATATAAGATTGACAAAAAATGGATACATATATATAATAAACATACATCCAAATTTAGTGCATTAGCACCTGCTGGTCTACTTGCACATAATATTCTCCAATACATTTCAACAAATATCATATAAGTCAAACAATCCCTTGAAACTTCAATATAAACTAGTCAAAATATTATGAATGATAACATCTATCACATATCAAAAGTCACATTGTGAAAGTTTATAAATAGGAGATATCACATTTTTATTGCTTTTAGAATAGAGAAATATATTAAACTCAAAATCATTGAAAATAGATGTAGATGTCACTTTCAACGATCAAAATACTTTTCATAATAGAAGCAATGGACGAACAAGCCTATCAAAGACTTCTCTCTCTTATCACCCTTCTCTTATGTCACAAACCAGCCCGATATGATCCGCAAACATACAGGTTATAACTTGTTGACATATGATAGGTCAGTCCAAGATCTAAGTTTTAGGAGTTTTAATTTCAATTTTCATTTAAATGTTATAGGTCACAGAGCTTTTAAATAACTTTAAAAGATATAATAAAGTAAACTCGTCCACTTTTTTTTTTTCATTTCATTTATCCGCAAAATGTATATATAGTATTTACGCTATAACACATGGCTACATAAACTAGAATAGGGAAAAAAAAAATAAATAGCAATGATTGTACAAATCAGGAAAAATAAATATAGAGACTCATGCATATTAGATCCTAAGCTCACCTACTCAATATGATATTTTCCTTTACTCTAACCTGAAACATAATTAGGGTGTTAATATTTGACCGACCTAAAATCTAACCCGAAATATTATAGGTTCAATTAAACCCATTTGTGATTGGAAATTTTTGTCGTTA